TTGTTTAGAAATAAGCCGAGCAACTGGCCTCGTCCTTCCCTCCCTCCTCCTTTCTCTCTCTCTCTCTCTCTCTCTCTCTCGTTTTTCCCCCTGCGCTTAGCAGCCAGGGAGGGTGAGATCCGGTATCACGTTGCAGATTCCCACTAAAGATAACGAAATGTGATCTATTTTTCAGAACAGCAAGTGGATGGGAAAGCAGTCCAGCAACAACACAGAACTCATTTGCTAATGGCCTGGTTTTAGGTTTCCTCCAGTTCTCCCGGGTCGGAAATCGCCGGCGTGTTGAGTTACTTGCCGCAGTAGCCCGGCCGCATTCTGCGCGGCCCTTTTTATTTCTAATTAATAAAGAAGAATGGCGATCCGTCGCCGGTAACCCGCCGTCTCGGGGCGGCCTTTGCTTTCTCCCACACTTTGCTTTTGTTGACATTCTTGATGTTGGAGAAACGAGGCCGGAAAGGTCGGGAGGGAAGGGAAGGGACGGTCTCTTTCTCTCTTCTCCCCCCCCCTCCAAAGACCCTCCCCAGCCAAGCTTCCGCCCTTTGCAAACCCCAGATGCGCCTATGATATCCGCGGGCAGTTTAATTTCACGCTGTAAATATAAAATGTGACTACTACTGCGTCACGGTGGTGCACGGAGCTTAGGACGTAAAAGGAGCCGGTGATAAAGGCATTTCCAGGCATTATTTATCCACACAAATAAACTGCGCCGAATTCAGGGAAGTATCCTAAGGTTACTGGGCGCAGAAAAGTACCAGTCTGGAGTCACAACTGGTTTTAGCATCCGCTGGGTGCAGCTCAATCCAAAGTTTATCTAGCTAAATATTAATTCCCATAGGTAAGTAGGTATAAGATTCGTTGTCTGGCGCTAAATTTGCGCCTGCTCCGGATCGACACGCATAGGATGAGGTGCAGGTTTTCATTAGGGTCATTCCTCCAGGATTTATGTCTTAAAACGCCTTAAACCCAGCCAGCTTGGGGCACAAGCAATGTATGGACAGTAGCCGCATGTGGCTTAATATTTCGCAAGATATTAAGGGGGCAGATCCTTCTAGCTGTTCAAAATATTGCGAAATTAGGGTCAACTGAACACATAGAGAGTTCATATATAACGCCTTCTATGTTTTACAATACGAAAATGGAAAAGTCCCTGGAAAAGACCCTGATGTTGGGAAAGTGTAAAGGCAGGAGGAGAAGGGGACGACAGAGGACGAGATGGTTGGACAGTGTCATCGAAGCGACCAACATGAATTTGATCCAACTCCGGGACGCAGTGGAAGATAGGAGGGCCTGGCGTGCTCTGGTCTCTGGGGTCCCATAGCACTCACTGAGCTTTCCTCTGAGTAGACCCTTCTACCTGCAGCGCAGTTCTAGCCACGTCTCCTGAAAAACATATCCCCTGAAATTTCAGTTTCTTATCATGATTTTGGGGGTGGGGGGAAGTTAGCGGCAAAAGGATTTACTCGCGAGTAAACCTAGGTGGAGTTGGGGGGCCTCTTATTTTTAGGACCGTCTCCACAAATGACGTACCCCAAGGCTTTAGGAGCATCATCCTTCGTATCATTTGTTGGGAGCAAACGGCAGGCAACCCGGTGGGCTTTACTTCCGAGGAGACACAAGATAGGCTTGGCCGGGAAAAACTGCCTGTTTACCTGGAAGCAGGCTTTATGTAAAGCGAAGGGACTTACTTCTGAGTAAGCACAGAGATTTTGGCTGCTGACTGAGAAATGCAATTGATCCTACTCAGTCTGTGAAACAGAGAAAAACACTCAAGTCCGTTTCATTGATGGCTTATTTATAGCCCTTTATTTTTATTTATTTTTCCTGACCGGTTGTATGGAAATAAAAATAAAGTTTCATCCCCAGTGATAAGTTGAGGGTGATAAGTTGTTCCTTCCGGCGGGTCAAAGAAAGCCGTTTAGTTTCTCTTCCTCGCGGTCTAATTTGGAGGAAAACGATTCGGTTTCAAGCTGCCGGACAAAATTCGCGTGGGAGCCTCCGAGCGGCCGGTAGAGACCCCTTGTGGTCTGAGAGACACGGCGGAGGGATTCTTTGCTCTGGGTTACAAATGCGAGTTATACCGAGATCTGTTC